TCCGGGCCCTGCAGATCGCTGCCTCTTCAAGCAATGACTGTGCTGAGGCAAAGGTATTGCACCAATCGGAATGACCGTCTTCTCGGGCCGCTGCACCATTTGGCTTGGCTTCTCCGACTTGAAAGACAACTAAACAGACAACACCGTGAGATTGTCAAATCTGTTGAACATTTTAACAATTTCGAGTATATCAAGTTTAAGACGGAAGAGTGCTCTAATTGATTCTCTGCTGCTATATCGTTCTCGCATTGGCCATTTCATCAAAAGCAAGCCAAGCCAGATGAGGAAACCCATCTGAGCTTCGGCCTTGCGGGGCTTGACGGTACAACAGAGCTGGGCTAGGCATAACGCGCTGTGGGGGCTTGGTCATATTGAGCTCAAATATCAAGGATTAGACGGCTATAATTGCCGGCTGACTGCTTTTTACCGCGTACAAACTCGCATCGACCACGGGATTGTCGATGGATCTGGCCGCGATACCCGTAAGGAGTGGAACACAAGAGTGACTGTCACTGCTGTGTTGCTATTGAGCCGTCTTGAAACGGCTAGTGCTGACTCCAAAGGATCTTGAACGGAACCAAAGGGTCCTGTAGTTGAATGATGTCCACTTAGGGAACGACTGTGCCAGTGATAGTGAGTTGAAAGGAAATTATAGGACATTTGCTGTCATCGTATATTTTCACCTTTTCGATTTTGTCATTGGCGCGGATACTAAGAAATTAAGCAGCTAGCCTGCTTGCTCCCCCGAGAATAGACCGTAGATGATTCAGAAATGGAAAAGTTACTCACTTGCGGATGGTTTAATGTTATTATAGAAAGAGAGGGTCTAGATAAAATTTGTAAAATGTTTCTTTTAAAAGAGAGTATGTTGATAGACTAAGCAATAGTTTCTGAGCTCAAAGTGACAGGGTTAGCCATACTGAAAAAACCCCAAATATGCAGATATTACATGGCTGAACGTAGTATCAGTCGCTGTACCTCCTCTTACCACAATAAGAATTATAAAATAAAAATGGGGGTTATCTCTGTAACTGGATAGTTATACGAAAGCTGATCTTTTCGTTTATTGGCAGGAGGAATATTCGGTGACTTCGAAAATGGGCCCAGGCTAGCTAAACCCATACTACTGCGGAAAGATCGCTAAAGAGGCCAATAGGACGTGGCGGTATGTCTATGCGCTCGATAGGTCCTTTTGTAAAAGGTATTCCTTCGGATGCAAAAGCTCATTTGCCGATGTCTGATATGACGGGGATATTGAAAGCGTTAAGCTGATGGTACTCCAGTCAAAAGCCTCAATGTTGGGTATATAAGTCCTTGACCCTCCCAGATATCTGCCAGCAATCACTCACTCAAACACCCCAACTTCATATCAATTTTCAACCAACTTCTACAATCTACAACCATCAAAATGCTCATCAACACCAGCATTGTCACCCTTCTCATGGCAGCCTTCGCTGCAGCCTCTCCCATCACAGAGCCCACATCTACCCTCACCAAGCGAAACTCAGTCAACGACTGTGGCGACTCTACTTTTGAGAACCACTCGTCTGGAGGCTCTCCTCAAGTCTCTGACTGTCAGCAAATCGCCCGCAACATCGCTGGCGGCGGCACCTGGACCGTCGGTGCTGGTGGCGAGCAACACCAGCTGGTCCAGTACGGAACCTGTGCTTTCGGTGCACAGGGCGCTGGATCCAACATGAATGCTGCTTATATCGGGAATCAGGACATCATTGATCTGATAAACAGCTCTATCCAAAAGTTTCAGTGGGAAGGAAAGGTTGGCGCTGCTGGTGTCATGGGATGCCAGAGTCTTACTGGACTGGTCGGAGGAGTTGACATGCGATGGGGTATCTACCATACTTAAGCACTTTTTACATTGCTTTGGTGGTGATGAGTCATGTCTGATTACAGTATTGGGGGCCAGGAGAGTATAGTGATGGATGCAAGAGGAGCTGTTGTTTATACAATGCATGGTATTTTCTATTCTTAGTCTAGCTCTTGTTCAGCTAGTCAGGCAACGACTTTTGTTAACTGTATATATAACACCGTTCTTCTATTGAGATGTGAGGTGATATTTCTTTCCAGAAAGTTTTCTCGTTTACAAGCACGACCTTCCTTCGCTGTAGGTAATATATAGCTGCTGACCTATACAAGTTCTCTCATTCAAGGCCCCAAACGTGTACATGTGTCATTGTCTTGGCGCACCCCGATAAATAGCTTGCGATATAAACCCTGGCGCAGTCAAATATCCATAATATACAAATGGGATGATCCCAATGCCAATGAATAGATCTACATACAATCCAGTGAGCACGAAACCTTCCTAGCGCGTCGACACCAATTGGCCATAGGTTTCCATTTTCGAGTTCAGCCATCCTTGGCTGAGACCCACAAGCTCAAGATATACAGCTTACTGGAATAACAGGTGACGTGACAATCCAGAGCTGCTTCTCAACGCCGAGATTGGGACGACCCTATCATGGGCGGGGGTCGAACGAAGTAGGGTTCGAATGCCATTTGCATGATCTGAGCAAGTGAGTCCCGACTCACTCGAATGGTGGGGAGAGAATTGATATTCAGGAAGTATGGAGTCAAATCTCCCCTCAAATCAGGTTGACGAGATGCCTGACGGATGTCTTCCATTGCCTTTGCACCCTGCAGAATTCGCTGAGATTTCTGGTTCGGGAGAACCATCGACTGGCTGAAGTCTGAAGATTGGTTAGTTTCATGGCCCGATTTAGCTAGTAGCAAAGTATCAGTGTCGTGTACCAAGTTGAAGGAACTTCTGAATTGTCGTGCCTGCGATTGGCACATAGCGATGTCCATCTAAGACGGCAAATAGTATTCCGGTTTGACTCGTTCCTAGAGGACTTTTCGGGTTGTAGTAAGCTTCGACAAAACAACCAAACACCTTTGCTCACAGCATCGGCCTGACTCGCCCTGGGACTTATTAGCCCCTCCAGGGCTATAGTTGAGTAGAGCCGGTGTGATAGTATCGCTGCGACCGAATAGATAGCCCATTTTCATATGAACAAGTTCATGGGTTGTCGCCTGGGTGAGAGGAAACAAGTACTTCTGAAAACCCTCGACATCTCCTGACTCAGCCACGCTCACCGCAGCATCCACAAGCTAAATAATTCTCATAAGTACATTGCATTTATCGAGGGAAAGGGTGAGGCTTCTTAAAGATTTGTTGATGTGAAAAGTAGCAGCATATTTTGGACTGTATGCATTAGAGTCCCTGGCTTCCAAGAGGCCTGGAATATTAGGCAGCCATAACCCCGCCTATGATACAGGACCAACTCGTCCATCTCAATGCTCTTCCTCAATCTTTCTTCAATCTTCCCTGATTCTATACTCTCTCATTACTTCACCATGGACCCAGAAGAACTAAAAGCCCTAACTGAGACGCTGAAAGAAAAAGCGGCGGCCCAATATAGGCTACGTGTCCCATTTCGAGATATCCAGTCAGAGCGCCATCGCCATGTGCTAGATGGGGCAATCAAAAATGCCTTGGCTACTGAACTTGCGCAATTCACGTATGCTCAAATCATGGATGGGCTACCGACCGGAGATGTGTGTTTTGACCGCCGTTTCCCTCATGTCTTTGGTGAACATCCTATCGACTCATGCCACGATGAGCTATGTCCCAGGGCTCTTGAAAAGGCCCAAGAGTATTATCAACAGTGGGACTCCGATATTCTCACTTTTGATCTAATGGTCAGTTATGTCTCTAATATTCTTTGTCGTATTGCTACTCACTGTTCTAGACCATTGAGAAATATCAACATGCCGAGATTGGGTCTAGAGCTTTTAAGACACGTCTAGTGGAGCTAGTAGCAGTAGCTCTTCATGAAATCGCCGTTCTGTTATTTCAGCTTGACTTCCAATTACACAGAGGAGGAAAGGCAGACATTGACTACGTTACCAACTGGAGGATACCAGCCTCTGAGCTTGAAGGCCTTGTTGATGTCCCCCCACGGCCGACGCTCTTTAGTCACCACGCCTACCTCGATGCAGACATCTACCCGAATGGAGTTGCTGACATAGTTGGGTATTGGGCTGAGGATCGTATCCTCGGAGGCGTAGCAATCTTTGACCGTCGGGCAGAAACTTCATCAGATACGCCATTGCCCAACATCTACTTTCATTCCTGTCGCCATAAGCAGACTTATCGCGTTTACCAGCTTCGTGATGATCAACAAGAGGCACTGTTTGCATTCCTACTCGCAGAAACAGACTGTCCTCCTCCTGAGCCCAACCCGCTCCCTGTTTTGAGTGATGCACAAAATCGCGTTCGTGTGGACTCGGAATACGCCCTCACTCATCATGAGATCTTTCGGGATATATGGGAGAGGAAGCCAATCACAATTGAGCAGCGGAGACTCATAGACAGACAGGCAAAGTCGGATCTTGACTATCCTGAAGCCCTCGAGGAGGTTATCCGAATCAATGAGCAGCTTGGGTTTCCCATCCCAAAATTCAGAGAACGGTCACCGTCAGTATGATATCTGATGTAGTTAAGTATACACCGTTGATTGTGTGAACGTGAGGAATCTAGATTGCTTCAAATAGCTATAAATAGAAATTCAGAAGTTGGAATACGATACCCGCTACACTCAAAACAATCGTGTAAATTCAAGTGCGTTCAAGCCTGTCTTCATAATTCTCAAGATCACGATTCGATACTTTTATTGGCAATGATCAGTTCAGAGGCTCAAGAGGAAAAGACCTACAGACAAGCAGATATCACAAACAAGTTCTGGGCACAGGTCACTTAAAGAATAGTTAGAACGCAGATTAGGATAACTCCTCTCATGACCTAACCGACCTGGCTACCGGTATAGATGCATCTACGACCCGTCCTGGTGCAGTTAAATATCTATAATATATAAATGCAATAATCTTAATGTCTATAAATAAATCTACATGCAATCTCATGAGCGTGATGTCTCCGAGTAATACCTTGGAGAGGAGCGCACCATAGTTCCAAGAGCTTTTCAAGCTTGACCGTGAAATCGACCCGGCGAAATTGAGTAGGAGGGGTAGTTGTACCTGTCAAGGGAGCCTGTATGATTTTGAGGAGGATGCTGAGCCATTGGATGTTCTTGTAGATGGCGATAGTGATGACGGTCGGACATGGTAAAAGGTTGCTGGACAATGGAAGGCGACAAGTGGCTCTTGTTCTGTAGAAGAATGCTTGCGGAGTCATTGCGTATATGAAATGTCTCTACCGGCTCTCTGGGAGTTCTTATCGCTCGTCCTGGGTGAACAAGATTGAAGAGAGCAACGGTGACGAAGATCATCGAAGCGTCAAACACATAAATATATATTTCAGTTGACTGCAATGCGCCATTCGATCCGGTGATGTACTCAACCAAACGGAAAAGAGATCGGATCATGATCAGACCACTGTCAACGTAGAGAACGAGGGCAAATTGTTTCCAGGGAGAGGTTGAAGAAAGGCTTTTGCTGGTCGGGTTTGCAGTAATTCGGCGATAGAAGATATGAAGAATGGTCATAAAGAATGCGAAGAAGTAGATTTGGACAGCAAGGCCAACGATGATGATGTTCTGCCCCATCTTCTGGTCACCCTTGGACTTGGCTTTGGCCAGCATACCTCCTCCTGTAGTTATCAGAGGTTAGCATCACGTCTAACGCCAAAGGATACAGTTTCAAGTTACCCGCGGACTGTGCCAGAAAGGAAATGACATCACCAATAACAAAGGTCTTTGTCAAAAATTCGATCGGGACCAGTGAGTAAGAGTCGGCTTCGAGGGATTTGATAAGTCTTCCAAGCGACATATAGATAGAAGCTGCCAACATGGTCGGGCCGAGGAGTAGAAGCAGACTTTGGAGTACATAAGGCATAAGAGCCCAGTCAGGAGTCTGCTTTGCAGATATTGCACGCCCGGCATAACCAATTGCCTCAACTGTTGCAGATTGATGAGTGCATACTCGGGGGCAAGCAGTGCCGGCTCACTTACAAATACATCCAATAAGGAATGGAACAAGATAGAAAGTTCTGTGCCAAATGAGTTGAAAGAGGTGGCAGAGTGTTAAAGCACTAAAGAGAGCCAGGAAGATAATTGCGGCGATGAAGGATGGGTCGTAGTGGTACAGCTTGAATTCCGACATGGCAGGGGCGTTAGGTGCAAAACAACTGAGCTTTGGTGTAAGAACAAGGCAGACGAAAAGCGAGGGGAAATCTTTTTTCTTTCTTAAAAAGTGACACAAACGAGCGTCTAGAATATGGACCCAAGAGTGGTTGTACAAAAGAATTCTCTAGGGGTATCTGAATTATTTATCTGAAAGACGATTCCCCTTAACATACGAAGACAACAATGACCGGCCTATCCGTTGATGTTAGGCTTGCTGATCGACCCACCCGTATTTTTTTACGAGCGGGGCATCTGTGAGTGCGGTATGAAGTATGTAGGATTGGATTAAAAATAGGACCTCTAGTCTATATAGGTTAGCCTGGAATTTTATACACGTATTATAAAGCTTACCTGTAGTGATTTATTTATGACATTTTCATGGATTCGGGACAACTGCAACACCGCATTACTGGCTTACAATTATCAGCCCAGTAATTCATACTGACTTTTGACTGTCATAATTAATTACTTTGTCCTCATCATCTGATAGGCAAAGTGGATAATCCTGTAAACAATAAATACTGTTATAATAAAGAAGAGCAAACCAATCTCTCAGAGTACTATTATTGTCCAAGCCAGCTCTACCATTGCTGACTGCCAACGGTGCGGTAATCTTGAAATTCTTCAGTTACCGCTCTAACAGTTGAGAAGCCAGACTTCTTAGTCGAAAAGGAAATCTCAGTTTGTGAATAATTAGACTACAACTTTGGTCATGCACCATTTCGATCCTTTCTTCAAATTTGTGGATAGTCGAGGGTACAACGATCAAAACCAATGCAACAAATCCTAGAAGACCGTTGGCCCATCCAAGACCCGTTGCTTCATACATCTGTAGCCTATCGAAAGGTAGCAATGCTGCAACAAATGATCTCAGAATCGTCAATGATGCTGAGAAAGATGCAGTATATCGTGGATATGTGTCAGGTATGTAATTTGGAATCGTCTTTCTCCCTTGCCGTCAGCCTTGTACGAGGCCAACAAGCTCTTAACTTTCCAAACAAAGGCTTAAACAGTAAGAATTCTGAATACGGGACTAGATAACGTCCGTTACTTGTTCGCTCAGGCTGAGGCGGCTGGGTACCTTCACAGCCGTGCGTCCCATACACAAGATCGAAACGCTTATCATAGGAAGAACCCAATATATAGTGTAATACATCGCCCAGTCGTAAATGAAGAGACCGCAGACTAGTGCCAATCCACAAGGGCTCGTAATGATAGAAGCGAGCCGAAACTTGGTTGGTGCACTATTTCTCTTAGTTCCTTTCTCTCGACCATAAGGTCCGTCACATTTCCGATACCAATGACCCCGGAGATGATGCCGATACCAGCAGAGACAAAATTTAGCCCGCTAGTTCCTTCGTCAAAGCCTACTACTATGGATAGACGAACGACAAGGTATCGATGAAAAGATGGAGAACTCCGTATGATATCGCGATGTAGAATGCGATTAGTGTAACAAGCGAAGCGAGAAATTGAAGTTTGGCAGGACGAAGTACCGCAGCCCAGAACTTCATAGTTTCAACTGGTCGTGGAGTAGATCTATTTGGTACTGCTGAGTCTTGAGTATCCCGAAGGAGTGAGGCATTGTGTCTTTGGAGAATCACGGGCACCAAGGTTTCGTCGAGCAGGAAAGTTGAGATAGGAACAAGCACGCCTGACTAATCGTGATATCAGTGCCGGGTGCATGAGAAACAGCATAGGCTTTAGGATACACATAATAATTGAAATCAACCAATACACCCAACGCCACCCTTTGGCACATATCAAATATCCACCAACAACAGGGTCGATACATGAGCCAAGCAGAGGTCCCAGGGCCTAGGTCGAGATAGCGCTACCTCGCGTCTCAAAAGCCATCATACCAGCAATGCTTCCACTCCCAATCGAGATAGCCACTACTCCCGCAAAGCCCATAGAATCGAAAACCAAGAAGTATCCCTAAACTGTTACTCAGATCCGTTCACACGCTAAAGATAGCGAAGAATATAATTCCTTATATATAAAGCTTTATTAGGCCATACGTCTCGCTCAGTAATGTAATTAGAATCGGTCGAAAGATAAGACCGAGAACGTAGACTAATGTGATAAAGTTAGCGGCATAGGAAGACATTTCGTGGAACTCGGCCATGATGCTTGGTATTACAGGTGTAAATATTGAAGAGTCAGGTAGACTGTCATGTTGTCAATAGAGGTGCACCAGGTAGTTTAAGTAAGGACTCGCGTTACGACTATATAAGCAGTGATAGAAACCGCGATATTAAGCCACTTCCTCTTACTGGACCAGTTTTTCTGGATTTTCTGGATAATTGGCTCCTTAACAAGCGACAGAATTCAGATCATAATGCGCAGGATGGCAACTCTCCCCCTTCTCCTGCTCTCTTATCATAGCATCGCGCTCAATAGAGTTGTCCTGCCCAACTTCCAGAGTAACTGCAATATCCTCTTCTCGGTCTCTGATGGCGGACGTTTTTGTTTAAACGATCTTCAAAAATAGGCATTGAAAAGTCGAATCAGCATGACAAGCTATGGATATTGGCCTGCCTCATAGGCCAAGCTACGAGGGCCGGGAGGCAGTATATATCTCTCAGACCGTGAAGATACAGGTTACTTAAAACCAGTTCAGGACCAATATATATTTCTCGGGTTTTACGGATTTCGCCAAATCAGTGAACTCCGTAACTACTGAAGCTAGATCCTGTGTGACGAAAGTGGGTTCCTGAAATTTACGCGTATTTCAGCAATTGCCCCAAGCTCCTTTATCGCGCTATCTACAGGTGTTCCAATAAGGACGGTTTTATTTTTAGTTCCGGAGTTAAGTCATAATTGATGACCTGCTACTACCTGGTTATGCTGCTATTATTACACTATCGGGATCTTTATTTTCCCTAGCTCCAACTTCGTTCTCTCACAATCTAAAATACGCGTAATTAAGAACCAGCTACTTCCCTTTTGTTTTACTTTTTCGCCATCCTTACACGTTGCTGCCGCATAAAGCATATCGGTAGTATCACCCAATCCAGTCACTTATGAAGACCCCTTGCGGTTTCTTTGGTACTATGCAGTTTACTCCAGGAATGCAACGCTGTAGGCATAAAAAATCAAGGAAAGGCTGCCTCGAGTGCAAACGCCGTCATATCCGGGTAAGTTCTCTTTATGTACTACATACATGCGTCAGTATTATTAACAAGCTTTGGCAGTGCGACGAAGGCAAACCTATTTGTATAAACTGCATTACTGCAGAGCGAAGTTGCGAGTATCGCGAGCGCAAGTCTCCAGTATGAACCATACCCCATGATATTTTGTGTCCATATCATCAAGGTCATTTACAAATCTTTGGTCGCTTTCTCACAGGTTATTCACAGAATCTGAATGATGCCACCTTGTCATCCTCGGAGTTGAACGCGACCTTGATGCAAGATGCAGACAACTCATCAGCCACAAGCAGTCTAAGAATAAAAAAGGCACAAACGACCGACGTGAACATGAGTCACCTAGAGTTACTTGCTCATTTTTCATTTGCCATATATGCCCCAGAGCTTGAAGAGGATGATTTATCTACAAAGTTAGTACTAGAAGCTGCTCTGAAAGAGGAGTATTTAATGCTTGAGGTCCTGGCAATCTCGGCTCGACACTTATCAACCACCGATACCGACGAGGCAGATTGCTATTCACGCAAGGCAGTGGAACTGCAGACCAAGGCTATTGAATTATTCAACAATGCCGACACTGTTGCTGCTGATGATAATCCCATAGCTAGGCTGCTCTTCTCCTCCGTACTGGGCCGCCACATGTTGGTCGATGTGCTCGCCAGGCGAGATGCTGATCTCGAGACATTTATCGACCGATTTACCCAAGGTGCACGAGTTCACCGGGGCGTCAGAGCTGTCACGACAGCACAAGAATGGGAGATACTACTGACGTCAAAGGTCGGGCCTCTTATCACGAAAGGCCTTGATCCTCTGGGGTATCATGACACACCTCCACTTCGCCCTCATTTTACGTCACTGCTTTCGCGGACGGCACGGTTGGACGATCATGATAAGGAGGCATGCACTAAGGCTCTTTGCATGATAGAAGGGGCTCTGGATGATCTACAGTATCCCGACAGGAGCTCATTTGCCTTGCGCATGATATTCGTTTGGCCGATTCTATTACCAGAACGATTTATCGTCTTGCTAGAAAGGGGTATTCCGGAAGCTATTGCAATCATGGGCCGCTATTCTATTCTACTTCACGCTGGGGAGTCACTATGGCAGGTGATGGATGTAGGACCGTATTTGTTAATGCTCGTCTCTTCGTTTCTTGGATCTGATTGGGACGAATGGCTGTAAGAGCAGGAGATGTCATCAACAGGCTATTAGCCCATATTCACCGTACTCGCATTGACCCATCCTTCACTGTAGGCGATGGAGACTTGTAGATCTACACAAGTGGTCTCGATCAATGTCCCAAACACGTGCATGCCTCTTTCCTTTGGCACACCACAATATACTTGACTGCTTCTACGCTGGCCGCTTAGACCTTGTTTCCTTCAGATATTCCTTGATGACTGCATGTCTCGCCTGTGACCGTATAACCACGTCAAAGTCAAAGTGTTCCGGTTGGGTGTTGAACCCTATGGTGTAGTCGTAAAGTGGCACTGGCAGCTCCGCTCCGCTAGCGTCCCTTTCCTTTACAACGCTGCCAGCCCAGGCGACCCGAGCCGTCAAGATGTGAAGAGACCGCTCGGCGATGTTCTGTCCTGGACAGATCCGCCGCCTGAATCCAAAACAGCTGTAGTTCTGCAGGTTGGGGAACTTGGACAGCGGTTCTCTGTAAGTAGGTGGGAACTTTGGGTCCAGCCATCTGTCCGGCCTGAAGTTGTCTGAGTCAGGGTACAATGCCGTGTCTCGATGAATTGCCCTGCAACACGATGAAATTAGCATGTTTTCTTGGCTCAAGGAGCAGAGTTGTGTCGTAGTATAGACCTACCATTGGTTGGGATGGAATATCGTTCCCTTTTTGAAGGAAAACCCTTCGTATTCGTCGTCCTTGGTCAGCTGGTGAGGAAACCCACCTGCTGCGACAGGGCGCCACCGCAGCACCTCCCTGATAACGGCACGTACCGTCGGAAGGTTCGGTATATCCTCAAACTCGGGCATTCGGTCGCCCACCTGTTCATCTAGCTCATCCTGCATCTTCTTCTGCCACTTTGTACGACATCATGGCCGCAGCTGTGGTGCCGCTCCCAGCTTCGAACAAGGTGCCGATTACGTAGGCCCCCTCGTCATCAGAAAGCTGATAGCCGTCCTTGTTCTCGAGGAACGTACGTGTGAGACACTGAGCGTCAGAGCCCTTCTCCAATGCGCGGCACACATCATACTGAAGCTCTCTAAAGAGGCTCAGTTCCTCCTCGTGTAGCCTTCGCCCCTCCCTCTTGAAGGGGGCTACTGCTTCTGGCAACCTGTTGAGGAATGGCATCGAGTCAACAAAGTAGGCTCCGGGTGATGCGACTCGCTCCAGATTATGGACAACTTGGATAATTCGCTTGACAGCGGGCTGGTCGCCCGTTTCTATCAACTTGCCGAATCCAATTCGGAAAATACCCCCCGAGGCGTACAGCTGGAACCATTTGACATAGGTGGCAGGTGTCTCGGGCAGCGACATGAGCAGCTTCTTGGACTCATAGTCCTGGACGGTTTGGTAAGAGTCAGCTGCGGCTGGCATGGTCAACTGATGCATCAGTTTCCGGCCTAGACGCCATAGATCTGCATTCAAGGTCGACGTTAGCCACAAACTTTTCTTCTTGTGAGCTGTTGAGCCTCACCATTATGTGGGAGAAGCAATGGCCTCATCTCGCGCGAGACGATTCCAGATGCCATGGGGAGAAACTCGCGTGAGGAATAATAACTGCCTCGTTCGCGTAGGAGATCACTGGCAATCTTCTCGGTCGACAAGAGGACATGCTGCCGCCCAGCGAGATTGAGACGAAAGATCGGGCCGTATGTGTCGGCCCATTCCTTGAACTTGAGCCAAGAGTGGTATTGGAGGATCTCAAAGAGGTTTCCGACCAAGGGCTTACCTTGCGCATCATGGTTAGTCAAACGTGGCTAGTGGAAATACAGGGCCGAGTCAGTGCAAGGGAGAGTGATGGGAGATATCGTTGTGCACTTGGCATACCTGGTGGGCCAGGCAAAGGCTTCCCGCTGCCTTTGGTGTTAGACGATGAACCCAATACCAGCCAAGCGATGGCTATAATGGCTGCTATCCATACAAGAAGCATTGCCACTCTCCTTGTATCCAGGAATGCTGTCGGGCGGATAATGACAGATGGCAAGGATCAGTCGATGTCGTCGGCAGAGGCTCAAGACGTCCAGACAATAGACAAGCAGATATTACAAATAACTACAGGGTCCAGGTCACTTAAAAGAAATCAGGAAGCTGATGAGAAGAACCCCTCTTGTGACTTGACCGACCTAACTGCCGATATAAGTGCATCTACGACCTGAACGTACGGGGGAACTTGACTTGGCCAACGTCAACCCCATTCAATACCCCGAGAAAAGCGGCATCCTTCGTTAGTGGTCAGCATTTAAATGCAAGTGGGCACGGTATTCAAGTACCATGGCAAAAGCAAACCACAATTGCCTCACCAGGCCAATCACACGGCGATAGCATTGACTGTTATGTGCAACAGCCCAGAAATAGGCACGTATTTAGTGAAAGGTTGCAAAGAAGTTTGTGAATTAGGTTTGAGAGTCCAAGCCCTGCTATGTAACAGAGTGACTAGACTCTTGAATTAAAGTATCTATAAAAGAGGCCATCGTCGTGATGTTGGTATCAGTGTGGCCAAAACTGTGCAGCCAGCGAGACTCAACTGAAACCTCTGTGGTTCCCCTCCCCGATGGCTGTAGTTCAATGCTCTGTATAACTGGCATTTCATTCTTCTTGTTATGTCGCTGATGGGCTTTAGGCGGCTCTGTCACCGTGTCGTGACTCCACGATAGTTCCAAGTCACTTCTGGACTCAGACTTCTTCTGTTCGACTTGAACTGTGACCTCTTGGAATACAACGATGCCACCGTTTAGGAATGATTGTTGATGTGACGTATAGTGACGCTCAGGGGGGTAGACGTCTACTGTGTCTGTCGATGGGAGGCGCTCGTTGTGGGCTTCACTGCTCTCAGCGGGACATAAGTTTATCGTTGAGGACGAGCGTGTAGAGTCTTTTGACGAGGCTCTTAGTCTCATTATTGGAACGCGGGGCTTCTTGCCTTTTGAGTTGATTGATCCTTCGGAGCGCTTTAGTCGGCGGAGTGTTGATAAGGGTCCGGAAGTAAGCTCGTTATTAGCCCGGCTTGCGGGCATCGTCGATGGATCAAAATCCTGGTGAAGAACCCGCACAAACTCCTGCCTCGATTGTTCCAAGACTTGTCGCATGCCGAAGAAGTTGAGAGGGACCCATTGGCAGTTGGGACCGGATGATATTACAGGGTGAGAGATCTTGAGTCTCAATGCCATGATGACTGTCTCTTCTGCATCTCCTCCGTCGATTCCATAGGGAAGTCGTAGTATAGTAGGACTTAGCACGGCATCATGGAATAAAGGTTCCTGTACCCATTCGTATAGTGAGTGAATGGCATCGGAAAGATAGTGAGCAAATAATTCTTCATCTCGAGACCTCGAAGAGGCTCCTGACGTCCTCAACCTTTGAATGACTTCTGGAACCTGAAACCCACTTAGCCCTTGTACCATTCTGACGTGCGTTTCGTCGATAGTATTTAGCGGCAGAGGTATCAAGGGAAGTAAATCACGAGCATCCTTTTGTACGAGGACATGATGATTGTTAAGTCCTCGATCCTGGATTGAGAACAGGCCAAGATGAACCCCGGGCTTGATACGACCTTGCTGAGATATAAAGGCCTTCATGTCGCGTAGCTTGAGTTCGAACTCGCTCGACGGGATCTGCATCTGCAAATGGTTCCTCGCATCGTTGCATACTTGAACAGGGTCGACGAACCGATATCCAGCTGTCTCTAGTCTCTTTACCTCGTCATCTGATGTCAGACGACGGACCAAAAACATGAGTGCTCCTCGTTCGTCGATCTCGTTCTCAAGTTCAATCCCAACCCCCTTCTCGAGGTGGCTTTCTCCTGTCGTCGTCGATCCCTTGCGTAGTATCTCGCTCGTGTCGGAAGTTTGATTGTCGCGATGCTTCTCCAGTGCCTGTAGGTATGCAGGGTTTGCAACAGATCGCTTGGGAATGATCTCATCCCATAGAATACCCATCGTTGTGATGGATTCGTCGAGACGATCGCTGAGCTTGGAGGCGGCGACGCAGAACAACTCGCGGAAGATGACTGAATATCCATCGATAAGCTCTCCGTCGGCGTTGATGAGCTGAATCCCCTTTGTCGGATCTTTGTGCTGGCTTTTGTGCGGTAGCTGTCGTAAATGTTGCTTCATGCCGTTTATTAATCCCGAGATTCCAGTCCAGTTTCGCGATGCCTGGAACATCCAGTGGAACTGCGGATGTGCAGTGTTGAATTTATCGTCGGTGTTCTATAATGGAAGACTCGATATCAGTAGCTGAGCTTGTCATGTAGACCTAAGATATGAAAGATGCAAAATCATCTCACCTCTCCAATGAAGAAATCGGTGACAACGGTGTTTGGGAACACTCCGTTGCTGTCGACGAGAAGGCATCCGTCTTTGTTAAAGACAACAGCTGCTAGCTCAATCTGTTGAGCACGAAGGGCTGCATCTCTTAGCGTGCGGGCTCGTAGGATAGCTGATCCAGCAATGATGATACAGGCACTGAAAGACTATCAGAAGTCAGTAAGGCGGCCCGGAAGTATGACGACTGGTGCTGCGCCGATGAACGATGCGCCTGAGACCTACTAAACAAATAACTGCAATCGCGGTCGCAGTGCGAGATCCTCGTTCCAATTTCTTTAGATGAAGCAGCCTGTACTGAGTGCCCACAGAGGCACACCAATGCATACTGGATACCGCCCCAGCAAGGATGATGGCAGAAATAGTTCGCTTCCACCAACTACTCGCCGAGAGTGACTGGAAGATAAAGAACATGGCCAGCGCTACAGTACTCGCAGCGACAGCGATAACAGCAGCACCTACGATATACGCAGGCTCGTAGATACACTGATAGTTCTTGATTGAAGCGTTGGCCAAGTAGTGCATACCGCAGATGGCACAGCCGCAGAGTATACCAGCAGTTATTACTCTCCACCAGGCGATTCGATTCGAGATGCCTATCGCGTAGAATGCGCCGAGGAGCACAAGAACAGGCATGCAGAAGGAGATCACTGTCATGCCACTGGAGTATACAATCTGCATCTCTGCCTCGCCTTCAGCAAGAGTGAGTGCGATGTTGCCAATAAAGTGCTGCACCACAAGCGATATTAATTAAGAGTGTACGCAACGAGGTAAGCTGAAACTTACCATGCACCAAATGGCTATACCGCCCATGGTGATTGCGGATGAACATAGTATCAGACTAATGCATCTGTATTAGCAAACCGTCTTGGCAGTGTCTTTTTCTTGGCGAGAGGTATCAATCGTAGGTAGCATACTGATTCGAGATTCCGTTGAACCATGATCGCCGATTGATCAATTCGAGCGTCGAAGCCGCCCCCACCAAGCTGATGAGGTAGCTGAGCGCGAGATAGCCCGCATTGTACGCCTTTGGCACAATATGGCCCTGATACTGCTCAAGAAGGGCCTCGACAGTCATTTTTCGCTTATCGCAACTGCGCAACGAGAAATGGAAAAGGGATCAAGAGTCGAGAAGAATGGATACATGGCAGACTTAACGGATGGGGCCAGGGAATACAGATCGACAGATCTTAATACTCGAAGCGTCGAGGCACAAGGGGGGTCGCATCGGGCGTTTCATAAACGGAGGCGTTAGTCCTCCTAGAGATTTTAAACTTTGAGAGAGTCATGGGCTTGCAGGTGGCATGAAAGCATAAATCCGATAGGGGGGGATGAGGCCCATACATTCCGCAGAGGCGACCAATGCCCGAGGGGAGGGCTTGAAACCCGGCACTTGGGCGTTTGCTTCCTATTGCTTAGTGCATTAGTCAGGTATGGGGTAGTGCTGACGGGGACAAGGATCTACTCGGGGTACTCGTCCCGTCTGCAGGATCCAAAAGCGAAGAAAAGTTGCTTGGTCCATCCCACTCTGTGATCTAATTTCAACCCTTGCTTAAACCGTAAACGCACAGACAGGCGCTGGAAAAAGCAACAGCGGGAAGTTAGCCTCACTTAGTGGTTAGCGCTGACCTAGGTCCGGGAGCAGGCGCACTAAAAGATAGTGGTATCTAAGCTGGCTTATCTCTGCGATCAAGGTTATGCAGAATGCGATGGGGGAGCGCCTTGGTAAAACACGCCGAGTTTGAACAATTGGAGAAACAGCGTCTGTAACACTGGGTAACACGAAATCAGGGCATCCAGATCTTCATGCATGCCGTCAGTTCCGTCCAGGCTTTTGGGACAGCTTAGCGCGGCAGAAGAGATGATGCACCTATATCACATCCAGGGGTCTCGGCCTATAGACCGGGTCGAGAACGGCTTTAGTAAAATTCGGATTTAGGAGCCGGGTTTGTGATAACAGTAGAAACTCTATCTCTCATGGCGTAGCGTAGACTCGCCTATAAAGCTAATGCTCTGTGGCTACTGTCAGGAGACGAACGGATTTGTATAGGTAGGGCTTAGGTTTGTAGATCTGGCGGCCGCCGCATCCAGAACACACAGACCCTTGGCCTAAACAGCCACAACTAGCCCCAGGCGAACTATCGACTTAGTGCACTCGGGGAACAGGCGGGGATCAGCCCGGGGGCATTCCAGCGCGCCCAGAGCTTTGAGTTGAGGCGGCGCACTAAAACGGCCAATGGTCGGATGAATTGTGTCACGCTACAGAGTGATTAATGCGATCCTGATTCATGGGCGCCCAGCTTTGTAATACGTAAAACTGTGGATTGGGAGTATTTGATCCAGAATGTTGCGATTGGCTTGTCTAACAATGCATTGTGATTTGCCAGTTCAATGACGATCGTAAAACTGAGCAATGCCTTGTATTATAGCTGACATACTCTACTATACTGTTGCTGGGAGCTCTTGTCCATTTATTCCCTGTGCCCCGATTATGGTGCCCATTGGAGATCTCTTATCTAATTGCTCTGTCGAGGACTTCCAGTCTGTGGCATGTTTGTTGCGCTACGAAATGTGATATCGCCCTCATGCACAAATGCCGCCACTCTTC